TATATCAGTTGTTACTAGACAACACAAGCTCTGTTTACTTTGGGACTAGATGACGTTGTATAAATGGTTCGCGGGTCAAAAAAAATAAAAACCATTAAAAACAGTCAGCAAAAGTTTTTTCCAATCATTTTACTCGTTATTTCATGATTTATTTTACATTGAAGAGATGTAAATTTGTTTTACATGTTATTAGCATACACAACACAACGTCTTATTAATTTCGGGGACGATTTCTCAATGTGCAGTAAATTTTTATGTAACCTCTTTAAAATGTTTGACAGACAACTTTTTAATTTATTTATAAGTGGACGCGGCCGCCAAAGTGAAGAATGACACAAAAACAGATTAAGTATGTAGAATCACCAAGAAAAACTATATAAAAATTATAAATGCGAAAGTATATACCTATGTTTGTCTATTTACCGTTTTACGAATAAAGCTGTACCGTACTTAATGAAATTTGACACCAAAATAGTTTCTACGACGGAAGAACATAAGCTAGGCTGTACTATAGCTATAATATGCTCAGGACCTAGCAGTTGAATATACCGCTTTCCCTCTAACACTAGCCACCTCTGGATAGCTTGGGACTAGATGGCGCTGTGCAAATTGTAATAGGTTGTACGTATAATTAGTAAAAATCATGGAATTTTAAAACGTTTTATTTTTATTGGGCGTTTTTATTATTATTATCCTTTATCTAAACAAAGCAGACGAAGTCGCGAGTAACAGTAGTCTTAGAACAATAATATAGTATGAAAAATCTAAGTATAGATGTTTGTTACTCTTTCATGCAAAAACTACTGAACGGATTTTGATGAAACTTTACAGTAACATAGCTTATACATGAGAATAATACATAGGCTAAAAATATCAAGCGGGCGAAGCCGCGTGCACAGCTAATCAATTATAAAAACATAAATTAGTAGTAATAGTTTAATGTTAAATAGGCAATAATAATAAAAAAGAGTGGATAAACAGTTTAATGGCAGAAATATTTTGTTCTAAGTGCCATGGGTTCGAATTGAATGAATTGAATGATACACTTGGTACAAAAACTACTAATTTTGATCAGATTATATATGATGAAATTCTTTTCTCACACTCTCTTTGTTGATTGATAGTGTAAACAAGTTTTAATAGGATACCATTTATTTATTGGAGTTCCACAAAAATAAAGCACTCACATACAGAGTGTGGTTAAGTTGTTACACTTTTTGTGACGTTAAGGTAAAAGCACTAATGCCCGACACTGAACTAAAAGATGACACTTTCGAAAAAAATCTTTTCTAATTATAAAAACATTAAAGATTATTTATGATACGTGACCAAAAGCTTGCATACATTGTCAAGCAAATTTCAAAACGGCGTCAATTGACAACAGACAATATGAGCAGGTTGATAATAAGTGCGTAATTTTAGCGTTTTTCTTAATACTTTTAATAGGTATGGTTTTGTCTTATATATATATGATTATTGGCTATTGTTCGTTTCGATAAATAAATGTATGAAATTATTGATCTATTAGAACAGTTTAATTTTGGCAGAAATATTTTTACTATTAGTTCAAACAAAACCTAAAAGATGCCATGTGTGTCTTCAATTAGACATCGAACTGATTTTGTTAGCTTATTTTAATGCAAATTTAGAAAAACTGATATCTGAGTTTCTTTATTTTACACTAGTCTAACTATAAGACAGTGTCAACTATTAGGTACAATGAAGGTATCCATGTTTCAAATTAAAGTTCGAGTACAATGCCTCCAGTAAAGGGTCTAATGTTTCGAATTATGGAAGCAGCTATATAAGAATGCAGTTCCGACAGGTCATAGGATATATGATGAAATTCTTTGGGCATCTCCCAATACGACACAAGATAGTGCTAAGAAAATAGTCTCTTTGTTGATTGATAGTGTAAATATCAAGTTTCAAGAAATTGGCAATAAACAGTAATATTCACCATTTATTTATAACATGGACGAGAACTGGAATAAGGTCCTAGTATCGATAGTTTAAAATATAAAGCACATCATCATCATCATCCCAGCATACAGAGTGTGGTTTTTGGCAATATGTTATTGATTTTCTGACAATTATATTTTTATGTTATTTGACGATTATATTTTGTGGACAATTCATTTTAAAGTATTTTTATTGATTTGTTTTGATGAAACACAAAATAGATATATATGTCTACTATTAGTTCCAATTGATGTCATTTTTGGTGGATTTGATTTTTGATGCAGTGTCTACGACAAACCTGCTGAAAAATATTCATATAAAATTTCATAAAAAAAATTGTAACTGTAGTTTTTTGATAAATACATTTGCATTTTTGAGAATGAAGTTTGGTTAGTCAATGTGTCTAGCATTAGTGCTTTTAGTTTCAGAGTACAATATTCATATAAAATTTCATAAAAATCAATCAAGCAGTTTCGGAGGACAATTTCCATGACACGAGAATTTTTTATATAAGATAAACATGTACATCACAAAACAATACCTTCTCATTCAAAGTCAATAAATATGATTGTCATTATTATACCTAATATAACTATAAATCTTAATTTTTGTATAAATAGTTTTGAATCAGCATAGATTGCAAATAAATGCCTGAAAATATGCTTCAAAATACATAGTTACACAGATTTATATAAAAATATGAAGTGACAACAAACATTACAATTTTATATTTATACCTAAGTATATATAGGCGAAACATGTGGTGCAATATGGGTGTAGACTCAATAACGGTCGGAATTTGATCGCGATTAGAGAAGGCCGTAACGGTAGTCAAGTTTCCACGCTGAATAATTGTGGTCTCACACATGCTAATTGTAGCGGAATTAAACAAAATATCCATCTAAACAAAATTGAATTTAAACAAAAAAAATTTTTAAACAAAAATGAATCCATAAAATAGTGAAATGGTAAGCAAAATATCACAATTCGATTAAATATTTATTATTACTATTCATACAAAAGATATATTTCGTTCCTATTAAACAAGTCTGATCAAGTTGCAGTGATTGTCACAATCAAGTTGTTGTCATTGAGCACGATTTTGTCTTCTATTTATGGTCCTGATATGCTAATTTTGTATTGTATATGCAATTAGCTAGTAGACTATCTATATTTATGGCAAAATGAATTACATTTGTTTTTTTTTTATTGTAATTGCAATGGCAAACATTTAGCATGTTGATCTGCCATAATCATAACCGTTATCTACATATAAGTATATATGTATATATACATGACACTTCGGATATCAGGTCATCAAGTGACAGCCGTGATATGCCTATACTCATGCGTTTTTCAGAGGACTAAGACATCCTGCGTCTTCTGTATTTTTTTTATTTGTTCTGTTTTACAAATATATTTATTTACATGTTTGTGTTTATGATATAAATGTACAATTAACTTATACGAGAAATTTATACCAAAGTTATATATAAGTAAGTAAATATAAATAATTATAATAATTTCATTAAGTATTTATATTTATATATACTTAATATATATTTATTGTGAACTTTACAACTGAAACACAGCTTACGAAGTAAACTATATAGCAGATGTCGAGGTCGAGGTTTTTACATCTACCTTTGATTTTAATTTTAAGTTACATGCCTCAGCTTTGACTATGTGAAATATAACAGTATCTGTGCCCGCAATTACACCAGCATGAAATTTATAGCCTGTGTTGTTATGATGTATAAGTTATATTATTGTAAAGTTTCATTGAAATCCGTTCAGTAGTTTTTGCGTGAAAGAGTATCAAGCATCCATCTATACTTACAAACTTTCGCGTTTATAATATTAGTAAGATGTTGCTCTCTACTAACGTGAGTTATTTTCAGTTTATCTAAACAAACAAACATGCAAACTACTATTAATGCTACACTTAAGGAATCATATAAATATTGTGTGTATGTACATGGACTTAGCTACAACAGGTGAGACTCCTTATCACCTAACAATATAGCGGCTTATCTCGTCATTTGTTATCAGTGAAAGATTATTTTGACTTTCTTGCTTACGTCCATAATCTAAAACCTTAGGTTGTAATCTTGTTTTAGTTCAAAGATACCAGCTTCTTAGTACTTTTTTTTATATCAGATAAATATTTATCACACTGTTTATAGACCACGTGGGTATGTTAGGTACTTATTAGGTACAACGTTGTTGTTTTCGTCTGTCTGTATTCGCTTACTTCTAAACCATAAAATATTTTAATATGGTTTAATATCAATTTAAGGAATATATTCCGAAAGGTTTATGTGTATAATACATTCATATATGCAGGCTATGAAAGGTACTAGGCTAGTTGTTTATTTCCAATCAAAATTAAATAGAATATAATTATCACTAAAAGTTAAAATTATACGTCTTATTACCAACAATATAAACATATGAATGAACATATTACTATAGCTTTTACAACAGCACTCAAAGGTACAACGGTCACATAGTCCCTACAAATATAAATCTAAAATGATGAGTCTGTTTGTTACGTAGAACGCGCTAATCTCGGGAATTGCTGTTCTAATTGAAAAAAATCTTTTTGTATTGATAACCTATTTATCGAGAATGATTATACGGATTATAATATTACGCTACGACCAATAGGAGCGGAGCATCAGTGAAAAAGGTTGCGACAACGGGGAAAATGTGACACTGACGAAATTGCGCTGTTCGATAGAAAGATCGGATGGGATTGTTCGTAATGTGGCTTAAAGATTCCATTGCTAGCAATATACCTTGACAGATTGACTACGTGGTTCCCACTTAAAACCATCGTGATAACTTCCTAGGGAATTTGTCAGGATGGGCTATATACGTATGGGCTTGATGGGCTTGACTTTATGTTCGTCTTATGCGATCCTCTACTGGTGCCTAGCCAGCGTATACCGTTAGTGCAGGCGTGTGCAACAAACAAAACATTATCATCTTAAAAAAAGTCATAGTAAAGAGGTACGAAAGAAACTAGTACTTACAGCTTTAGAATAACCGCTGCCCGCGCTGCCATCTGAAGAGTTGCTCAATCTCCTCTCACTGTTGGACGCCGGTGGCGACCACGTAGAACCACTGTCCGACGGCATTTTTACCACTTCACCACAAAAACCGTCTCACATTATATACGGGCTCATCAACAGATAATCACTTATTAACGCGTTATTTACAACCGTTACGTTACACAACACTGTCACTTCACTTATGAACTTGGTCCGGTCTCATTTTACGCGTCCCATTTACCTGCAAGAAAAAAAAACTATATAAATAACTAGTTACTATCAGTAACAGTAATATTTTAAACGTAGACACTACCGTTGTGGTTGCAAAATATTCAAAATCATTTGATTAGCACTGCTACCTAGTTCTAGAAAACACTGCCTTTAGTATTGCCATTTTTACAATTTTTAAATGCTATAAGTAGTCTATTTATGAATAAGAAACCTTCAAAATGAAGAAAATACAATGATTACTGAAAATAAAATACAATAATTTCATTTCGTGCATCAGTCGTCCCTGGGCTACAGTAACCATCGTAGTATAAAAAAATTTATGAATACTAGAAAAATTGATATACAGTTCAATCATATAAAAATAATTTCGTTCTAAGTGACGATGCTGGCTCGGTTACGTTACTATCTACCTACTGGGTAGTCCCGTTTCTTTTTTGTAAGTAATATTTTTTTCACGTCATTCAAGTACCGCAGCCTCAGGTAAGCAACCCATCGTAATAAAGTGTGTCGAAACGTAATGGTGTTTTAAAAGTTAAATGAGCAGTAGGTCGAGATTTTAAATATTGACCATGTCTGATACAGATAATTTATAAAGCAATTCCGTAAGAAAAATAAAATATACGAACAGACAATAAAGAATTTCATGGCTATATTGTCGAACAAAAAATATGACTAAAGTAGTTTAACATCTGCTCCGAATTCGAGCCAGCATAGCACTTATAGAAGGCTTTTGCAACAAATCACTTATATAACGTTCACATAAACACAATAGCTTAGCAACGAGAGTGCGTTAATTACCCGAAAATAAGAATTCCACGGTACACTGATTTGCAACAATAACACAGGAACGATAAAGTTCACAATCGTTCGGATATTTAACAACGAATAACCGTTATTGCTAACGTTCCTGATACACGCGTCTATATCGTAGCGTGCCGCTATTGAGACTGCCGCGCCGCCATCGCTACTTCACTCGCGGCAGATTTGACGGACTGACAGCGAATGACAAACGACAGATAAACATTTCTTCATCGATAATATGCTATAATTACTGTTATTTTGCAACACTATGTTATGTTTTACCTTAAAAATATTGCCACTGCAATTAGAAGTTTGGGTAGTAAGAAATAAGCGTCATTATGTACCGAATGTGATTGTATTTAGATTTGCAGTCTATTTTTAACAGATTAGAAGAGTGAAATAGTGAGACAACCGTATTAAGCGATGTGAAGTGATTTATATGTCATTCATCAAGATAAATATACTAAAAGTAGATAAGAATGCCTTAGTTCATTAAAGAAGTTATGCACGTATTATACACTAAATTAGATTAAGCAGACATATAGGTATAATATTCACCTATATTATTTACGTATTGTTATTATAAAAGCTACAAATAAACTTATTTTACCTAATTCATGATTTGTCCTTGTCACTTAAGCTACTATAATATATTGAAAAAAAAGACTAACCTAACCTAACCTAAGAATAAAATTGAAATTTTTGGTTGGTCTTCAATGCCAGTCATATTTTTTATTTTCTTGTGGAAAATATTCCACAGACTATCTATTCGCCGGATGTTTATCCACTAAAAATTACAATATGAACACCTTCAACCCGCCATTACCAGAGTCACGTGGTCTTGTTAGCATCCTAAGACTACGAAAAATTAACTGCCTTACTTGAGACTGCAAATAGTCGTTTTCTGTGGGTCAGTCTCACCTATTTCAGCGACCAAGTACCTTGTTTTGTAAGCTATGTTGCGGTTGCAGGTTTTTTTTATGAATGATAATGGAATGGTGCACCCACCTGCGCTAACGGTTTACGCTGGGCACCAGGAGGATAATAAGATGAGCATGAGGTCAGGCCAGTTAGCCCATCGTGACAAATTCACCAGTAATTTATCACGATGGTTTCCAGGGATAACCGCGAACACCATCAGTCCACATTATTAACAATCCCCTTTCCCCCCTTGGTTGCAGGGTTCAGATTAAGGCAGTGAAACTACAGTATAATAGACATGACATTTTAGTACTCTGGACTAACAACAATTATTGATATCACAGGAGTCACATGATAACGTGATATAGTACTGTTAAGGTAAGGTAATATAGTAAGGTTACTGTTCACCGTTAGGTGTGCTGTCAGTCATCTGTCATTATAATGACATTAAAAAATCTGACAACTATTTCGTTATACATTTTATATACTTATGCACTATACAGATTGACCCTATAATGTGACAACTTCAGAGAGACAGCACAGTTCGCGCGCGGAGATTATGTACTCTATTGTGCGCCGCAGTAACCAATTATTTAGTAAATTATAGGATACTAGCTGCAACTCGCGACTTCGTTTGCTTTTTTCATCCTCGTAATATAATGGGTCTAACTTCAAGAAGACCAGTTCAGCATTTTAATAATAAATAGACAGTACGGAAGACTGATATATAAACTGACACACTCGCATTAATGTCAATAATAATATAAATTTGAATAAAGCATTCAAAGGTCGGAATTACATGTATTATAGGTACCTAACTCTATTGTTTCATATATAAATAATATAATCCTGTTGCTCTTAGATATTAAAGTTTTTTTTATTGATAAAACAAATTTTCAAATCGATTAAATATTTTGTGTTGTTCGTTACAAACAATATAGGATATAGCTAAATTACAGGATAAGTGGCATTACATCTTAGTCCTCTGGAAGGTCAGCGCATGAGTGGTATTACGGGTTATGTTATGATAATGTGATGTCCATAGTGCTGTTCAGGTTACTTTTTATTTCTATCAGGCTACTAATGGACCCATATTATAAATATATTTGTATATAGGCGACTGTTACTGTTTACCATCAGGTGGGGCCATCAGCTTGTTTCTAATTTTATAAATAAAAGGAGACGAGATTTTCCTCTACGTAATGTCTAATTTAATCATCCGGTGTATCCTACTAATCCTGAAAATATGTATACCCTAATCATGGGACACTTTCTACTTCAAAGACCGTATTATAAGGTATACAACTACGTACAAACAATAAACCACCGTATACGTATGACATTAAAATCCAAGTTCCTAGAGGTTATAGATTAGGTCAATAAGGACAAAGGGCTAACAAGAGAAATCAGTGTAGGTATGTTTATGTAACGGTGATCATAGTATGCGCAGGCGACGACATTAATTAATTAGGTGTAACCATATAAAGATGTTACTTGACAATATCCAAACTCAGCCCACGTATGGTAGCATTAATAATTTCATTGAAACTATTTATAAAACAAATAAAATTAAAGTGTCTGTTTGTAATTTCTTAAAAATATACGGAACTTTTTAACCAGAATATTAATTAAAAACAATTTTTTAGTCTGTCTGTTTGTTCTTGCTATTCTCTGAATCGGCTGGGCTTATTTTGACGGCACTTTCACTTGCAGATATCTACTTAATAATTCATGAAACTAATTTTATTTATAATAATGCCACACAGGCGAAGTCGCGGGTAACAGCTAACACAAAATATACTAGATGACGACAAAGTATGTCATGCAATTAATAAAAGTATAAAACGAAACATCAAGTTGACACAAAATTTGAATGGGGGGTTGTGGAATTAAGTTGGTAAACACGAGATTTTACTTTATATAGATACCTATTCTACTAACAGACTGATAATCCACATAATGGATTAAGATAACTGTTTCTCAGATAAAACATGAACCACAGATATCACCGAGTATTTTTCTGATACGGATCATCTATAACTCATAGACAATATCTTTATTATTACCAACTCTTTAGTTGGTATCTATTTACCTAATAATACGACTAGTTCATAGAATTAGAGTGAGCTACAATACAATTTCATAGAAAAAGCGTCAAAATATATAAAAAGACATCCTAATTAGGGTTGGGATTGGAAGGTATTGCAGATAATGGGACTATATTTTACTTCAAAAAAGTATTTGGTGACGGAATATTGAGGAACAATAAAAAACGTGAAAAATGCTTCGGGAAATTGCCCTTTTATAATTAAAACTTATTTATTTATTAATGACGCCGTAAGATTTATAAGAAAATAAATGTATATTGTTATAGTATAAGAAAACCAAAACAGCGTAGATCTATGTTTTACGTTCCATATTCAAAATTATTAATTTTATTAATAAATGCCTAATGGCTATTGTAATTGCAAACAGAACATCCTTCTTTGTGAATTTTACATTCAGTGTTAAAACATAGTGATTCCATGCTCAGTGATTTAGTATTCGCGGACATTAAAATCGCTCGTGTTTAATTAAACATCAGTTTGACATTTAGGATGATCGTAGCCGCAAGCTCAGAGTCTGGCATGAGGAAGGATCGAGGTCGACAAGTAACATATACTTAACACAAGAGGGCACTAAATGAACGAGTTTACGATGAATATACAAAAGTGGATATTAATCAAGCGGTTTTATTATAAGAGTCACAGCGGGATGTAACTTTGCGATAAGAATGATAATTCTTTAAAGTGTTAAATTTAGAAGAAAATAACAAAGACTTCACAACAATAGCCAGACGGCCTCGCTGGTCTAGCAGTTTAGCACACCGTCTTACTTCCGTCAGTTGCGGATTTGGTTCTCGTACAATAGTGATATTTGTATTCAGAAGCCTGATTGTTTCTATTGGTTGGGTTGTCTATTATTTAAAAAATATTTAAGTATTACAATCAATTGTTTAGTATACACAGTACCTACAAGCGCTGTTTAGATTTTATTTTAACTGTCCTAGAATAGAATAGAATATCATTTATTCAAACAAACTTAATTTAAGCACTTTTGAATACTCATAGTTATCATTCTTTTAATCAAGCGCTCATTCGGAAAGATGTCTCATCACAAGAAGAACGAGCAAGAAACTTGCGTGTTTAAATTATATTTCATTAGTATTATAGGGCCGATTAAAATAGAATATAATAATATAACCGTTTTAATTATAAATACACTAGACATCTAGCAAACTTATTTTATTGTGCCGTTTTGTTTTTATCTTCCGCACTCTTTTAGAAATACTTCAATTAATAATATAGAATTGTAAGAGATCTTACTTTTCATACACAATAACAAATTAACACAACTTCAGTAGATGACACCAAATAATATGAGATACCTAAATGTTTTCTTTCTCAATTAAACTATTTATATCTGATTGATTAATTGGTCAAACCTCCAATCGGTCATAATATTTACGAGCAATTGAAAGCTGAAACGGGTTCGTACAGTTATCGACTTCCTTACGAAATGTAGGCCCAGCAAAAACTGCAATAAAAACATTAAATAGCTTACTCGGTGACATAAATCAAAACTCCATTTACTCAACTTACATTGCGAACATCTATTGATAGGTATCGTAATACATTGCAATCTTTACGTTTGGATAGTAGCCATTTTTATAAAAACGGATTTAGATGGCGTCATTGGTATCGAATGGAATTCAACATTGTTTTGCAATCGTTTAAAACCCAAAACTATGTTTTTAAACAGGTTCATATATAGATGTTAAAATGAAATAATGCGTTTTGAAAAGTAATTTTCATATATTTACTCATTTTGTTGTTGCCCTGTATTTGTTTACAATTTAATCATTGCTAATTGGGCTTATTGTTTCCAAAAGACTTTCATAGATGACGCTGTTTTCATTTGTATGTCCGTATTTTAAATGTTTATTTTATATTTTCAAATAATAAGTACTTACTATATTATTATGATAAATTAAACATAAAAAAAGTTTAAGTAAATATAAAACAAGAAAACCATATTATTCCAGTAATACTTATTTAGAAAGTGTTGCCATATTAAAAATAAATGCATAGATTTATCGAAATCGATAACAGGATATTATTATTCGATGGTGCTTTTAATTAGTCTTTGCAAACAGAGTATTATACTCTTATTTGGAACGAATTTGCATAATTTTT